GCTCATTTTAGAATAATCAATCACATTATGTAGTAAATGCTTCTTTTTTTAACAACAAGCTGTTCAAGAATGTAGTGTAATGTGACCTCAGACAAACACAATAAGCTGCAGTTGAAATTGCTATTTGGAGGTTTTTGCATTGCCCTCAACCTTCAGCCAGTAACAACACTGCTGACCAGTCTGCATACATCAGCGCTGACATTGCTACCCAACACCAGCTCACTCATGCTCACACAGATACAAACCCACATGCATCAACACATTCAGTCAATGTAAAATGTTCCTACAGGATGTGCAACTCCAACAGATCATCTGAGGTCACCTGTGCTTTCCAGTGCTACGCAGCACCTGAGCAAAATATTGAGGTCGTGGGACATCGCACCACCCTGCGTCTGTTTGACAAAGATCGCTGCCTCACCTTGAATTAATTCTTCTGACCAAACTGAGAACTAGGGTGACAGGAAAAGCATAATTTCTTCTGCTAACATCATGAATTCAACAGGCACAGACATGTGTCTCGATAAAGCCATGAATAGAGATTCTCAATTGCAGGCTTTGGGATAAAATGAATATTTAAAGTAGACAATGTACCTTAACGAACAATATATTTTCTACAGAAGCTATTTAACAGTTAACATGGGCAGAAACTACATACCTAAAACAATGCTTATTTATTATATCTATATATATATGTGTGTTTCGGTCAAGACCAAGTATACTGTCAGAGTTTAGGGTAGAAAGGATTTACTTTGTATTCACTACTCACCAGTTCAGCATACTTCTTGCAGAGGCCTGCAAGTTTTTCCTCCGGGGTGCTCAGTGTGTTCAGAGTCTGCATGAGAAGCGTGATCTCTTTGCCTACACAAAAAGGAGAAATAAAATAACAGCAAATTCTGTTAAAAGACAGAACTGTTGGAGGATGAAAACAATTATTGACTTGTTTCTTTACAGAGCAAGTCCCAGTACAGAATGATCGCCAATTAGCTGTAAATACAACATTTTTACAAAAGCATTTTCTACATGTGACAAATTGCAGAACAATAAATATGTAAAATCTCTTCAGAGATCCGTTGTCAAGACTGAACTTCTCCTTACCCAGACCCTTCACTTTCTTCTTCTCCTGAGTCTTCTTCTGCTCTTTCTCTGCCCCATTTTCATTAACTTTGGCTTCCTCTGACTTGTCATCTTCCCTCTCACTGGTCAGGCCATTGAACTCGGGGCTGTGTGACTGGCCGTTGGGCAAGGCACTGGCGTCGTCTGAAATGGTTACCCGACAGTAGGTGCTGAGGATGTCCTCCAGCTGCCTGCTCAGCTCCTCGGCCATGTCACACTGCGACCGTGCAGCTTCTGCAACTAGACACAGTAAAGAAGAAGCTAAATCTAGCTGTTTCTTCTCCCAGCCAAACATAGCAATGACACGGCAAACAACTGAGGCAAAAGCAGCAGCGTTGCCCCCAACAAGTATTTTGCTATTGATTATTTCATTGCCCTTTTTTTTATAACAGCTAAGTGGATTAAGAATGTTCCAAAAAAAAAAACCAACAACAAAGCAAAACACTAAATGACAATTTCATTTCAGTTTATTGTCTTTAGACAAACTGTATACCATTGTATAATGCAAAGGTTCACATATTAAGTGTGCAAAACTAGAGTTAAACTGGCAACTCGAAGAAAAAATATAGAAAGATGGCTTATCATACCAGTCACAAGTGCAACTCTGAAAGAAATACACGTTTCTATTAAACCTCTTAGCAAAGTGAAAAAGTAGGTCTGTGTATTTAACAAAGTAGAACATGTACACAGTAGATATTTTAGAGGCACTGATTAGCTAAAGCAACATCATCAATCCATCTTATTATGTTATTGTTCCCTACATTTGGTTGCAACTTTAAGTTCTATGTAAATATCCCCAATTCACAGCACAGCCATTGTTTTTAACCTCATGTCTGGCTCGTCTTTTTGGACACAGTCCTGGCTAGAATATTAGGATTTTAGTGCTGCAGAGCAGCAGCTTGGAAGTGACCATTAGTTAAAATGTAGTCTTAATGAGGTGCGTTTCAGTCACTGTCATACTTGTTCTGCTGTCTGACAACACGAACAGAAGAATATGCCAGAACAGCTCTGTTGGGAATTCAGCTGTATTCAAACACAGTATGTGTTAGATGTAAATAGCTTCTGCACCGAACGGTGCCAAAGCGTTTCTCTTTAGGTATTGCTGCACAATGCTTGTGGTGCTGTGGTATGCTACCAAAACTCTGTTAAGTGTAAAACCCACCTTTTTGTTCTCACAATATGAAGAACTCCCAACATTTTTAAAGCAATAGGTTTTCAAAACTTTTACCTAGAACGTAGTTAGACTCTGCTGCTGCCACAACTTTCTAAAACTGAATTGCTGTTTGCAGCTGACCAAAGACTGAAGGCTTAAAGTGACAATTATGCTGGGACACACAAGAACAACATTTACAATAGATGGAAGCACTTCAGAAGAAAAATTAAAAATATATTTGGTTTAAAGAACAGTTGACCCATTTTTCTGCATTGAAGTAATAGATTATGCTAAAGACTAATCTGACATTAAAAGCAATAGCACAAATCTAATCTATCAGTGTCTTTGTTGAGCAATGTGCATCCCTCGGTAGAAAGGCAAATTGTTTGATGTCTGCTCTGGTTGGTGAACAATATTCAATGTGGTTGCTAACAGGTGTCATATTAAAATGGCAGCTATTAAGTGGGTTTTGAAGTGCATTTTGCCTCAGTATATAACAATATATAACACAGACACACTCATACTGGTTATTGCATAGTTTCGCTTGCAAAATTTCCTCCAAGAAATAATCAATTCAAATGTTATTTTATGATTTGACAGTCACAGTTCAGACAACGTTTGCTCCCTACGTGTCCTCATGTTACAGAGACACTGTGACAGTCCTGCCAGTAATGCAAAACTTGCTTTCCAGCATAATTTAAAGTTTACCTTCACCTCCTCCCTCCTGGTCTTGCGGAGGTGTGTCCGTCTGTGGCGTCTGTGGTTCTGACTCTTTGGGGCTGTTGCTGTCCGAGCTGTCTTTTGCAGCTGCGGGCGACTCCATCCCTCCGGCTGTGGGTGGAGCATCCTCGCTGCCCTGGGTGGCACACTCTTCTGTGTCTTGTTTTATCATCTCTGGTATCTGTGGCAAGTACAACAACAACAAAAAAACAGTAATATTTAGCTCACCCACAAGGACACTGAGGTACAAATCCAAAAGAACCTGCTGCTTCAGTGTTGTTGAAATTCAGGCAAATGACTCAGTAAGAAAATGAAACGTCATAAATGTTATTTTCTCCTTATAAAAGGCCAGATAAAGGCTCAGTTGTAAGGAGACAGCCTCGTCTTAAACAAAGCAGTCTAAAATGCCTTCTGCTAAATGCTGTTGTCGGCGGTGTGGGGATGTTTCACGGCAGTATTATCACAGTTTTGCCACGCTGAAATCTTATTAATCATAAACTGGACTTTGTCGTGAAAACTGGCGCATCTTCACTCTGCAAACACTCGAGTGAATTTAATCATTTGTACAAAAAAACATGTCAAACGGCCAAAACATGTAACATACTTGCTGGAATTCAGCAACATCCTCCACAACATAGTTCAGTTGGTTTCTGCTTCTCACACAAACAATAAATATGTTTACGTTGGTAATATATCAGTTCACTGTACTGGATTATCTCACTGCAAATTTTCTCTAGACTTCCTATAAAGCCTGCCCTGTCCTCACTAGCTTTCGTTTTCCCACTTGTCACAGAAATTTCCTATTACGTTAGCTAGCACAAGCTAACTGTCGTTAGCCGCCAGTTGCAGCTAAATTAGCTCGCACGACTACTAGTTAGCCGACGTTAGCTCGTGTACAGCAGGCAGAAACGTGTAAAAAGAAAGGCAGACAACACAGGTACTTGTTTCTAAATTATAGCCTTCCCCTACCGGTAATAAGGAAATGTTTACCTGAAGACTGAAGGAGGAAACAGCTAATGTGTCTGTGTGCTGCAGGTTTCATCAACAGCGTGAGGCAGAAAAAACTCACTTCCGGTTTTAACTTTGGATTCTTCTTCTTCTGTGTTAGATTTTAACTGCAGCTCATAGTTCCGCTGATGCTGTGTCGACACCTAGAGGATTAAGATATTACTACATGTGCGCAGTTAGGCTCATCATTATTCATACAGTTTGTTTTTTTTTTAATCAGAATACTTCCTCCAGCACTGTAGGTAGCCTCAACCTCAAAACTAGGATGAAAAGGGCTTTTCCTCACCTGTTCAAGATGCTTTTAAACTGTAAAAAAACAAACAAAAAAAGCATCTTTGCAGGTTCTTGTTACTAAAATAGATAACATGGAGTTGACATCAAATTCGCTGAAACAGTGCCCCTGGAAAATGCCCAAGCTTTTGTAAATTTACAGTCGATGATGTTAATTCAAGCACCAAAAGGCCAAATATACAGTTAAGCCTACAATTAATCAGACCCATGCCGAAGTTGATTAATAGTTATGTTTTTATTGAGCCATAGATCTCTTCTAGATGGTAACTGAATAAAAAAAAGAAGTGACAAAAGGCGGTAAGACATTGTGTTACAGGTCATTTAATTTGACTGACCCATGAGCTGAAAAACATCCTCAAAGATTACATTCTCACGACTGTCTGATCCATGAGGAAGGTCTTCTTGGATTCTGATACTTCTTCTTTCTTGAACCAAACAAAAGTCACATCGCTGTGTTCAAACAACTTTAATCACACTGGTCACTGAACTGATGACCAAAAGCTTTCTTCTTTCCCCAGGTGATGCTTCTTGGAAAGGTGGAGTCCTCGATCAGTGTCTGTGGAGATCAGCCTTGTTCAGTATCTCTGAGATTTTCATAACAGAATTGCTCATATTCATACTTCACCCCCTTTTTGTTTGTTTTTTTTAAATCAGTGTAGGGGTCATTTTATGCTTCCAACTACATCTTTTGAGATGTTTCAGCATGTGGAACGTCTTACAAACGTTTGTTCTGCTTTGCACCGGGGCCACTGGCACTTAAAAACACTTGCATATGTTTTAAAAGCTCTTCCCGTCTTGTGAGCAGCCACAATGTGAGGCTCTCTCATCAATGATCTCTAACGATAAGATCACTACAATCCTTGGTTTTAGCCATTTTAGACTTGACACTGACCAGGAACCAACAAGAGAACAACTGGATCAACCGTCCTCAATTTACAGTATATTCAAATGCTCTAGAGCAGGAGTGTCAAACTCTGGCCCACGGACCAAATTTGGCCCGATTTGTAATTATATTTGGCCCGCGAGACAATACCAAATGACTACTAGAGCTGCCCCCGGTATTATACTGTACAGCGCATTCACCGCTAATACTACAAATCCCATAATGCCCTGTTGTTGTTTTGGCGCGTCAATCAGGACAGGACCCAGAAACTCCCTCTCCTCTGTGACAGTAGGCATAGCGACTTCACACTACAACTGTCACTGCGCCATTGATGTGTTTTTTTTTAATCATAATTTGATTTTGCATGTCTTCACCATTAACTTATATATAATGTATGGTAATAAGCGTTGCTTGTTCTATGTTCAATGTTAAAGCAAAATTTGGTTCGGTCCATATTAAAAGGTTCATTTGTTGAATGTTGGCCCGCGACTTTGTTCAAGTTTTAAATTTTGGCCCACTGTGTTTTTGAGATTGACACCCCTGCTCTAGAGCATAGTAAATATGACAAAGATCATTTAGAATGAGACAGAAGCTGAATTTTTCTCAGAAATATGATGATTGTGTATTATTTTGGACATGGCATGTTTAGTAAATATTTGACACTTGTGAGCAATTGCCAGCCAGAAGAAACCAATTGGTCAAAATTTTACTCTAAATCATAATTTGGTATGAATAACTTAGGGCTTTACTGTAAAATGTTAAATGTTAGGTAAAGTGGAAATTGTTGTCCTATGACATAAGAGAAAAACAAAAACATTCAAAATGCTATTTAATTTTTTGCTTTTTGCCATTTGGGCCTTAAAATTAGAAGAAAATGCTACTTACTCATTAACTTGGTTCATATATTAGGACAGTTATTTCTCATAAGTTGTCAATCTTTTCAAATTCACATGTGTATGCAAAAGTCTTTCCGCTCCACTGAGTGAAGATGATTCCCCCCGAAAAGACAACTGATTGAAATGAAGCACGTCTCAAATGAGAAAGGACACACGATGATTAAAGGGTTGCAACATAACTTTATTTCATTTGAACAGTATTTCCACTGAACAATTTTAAATTCAATATATTTTCTTTACATTTTTTTTTTTTTTTTAATATTGTTGCTGTTTCCTGTATGCATTTTTTTTTCATGTTCATGTTTGTGTGTCATGTTCAGTTTGAAGTGTATTAGTTTCTCGTCACTCATTCATACCGTCGGTAAAGTCAAGTCAAGTCACAGTTTAAGATGGGTAATTTTGAGCAAATGAAAAATCATAAACAAGAATAGAGAAAATAAATACATGTAAAAGAAATGAGAGGACCAGAGCAGAGAACACATCGGGACTGGTCAGTGATGGCATATGAAAAGTATTTTTACAAACATGTAGCATTGTAAACATTTGTAGCGTAGACATTACTTGACTTAAGCCAGGCGTGGCTTCAGATTTTGATAAAGACACGAACAGCTTCTAGGACGGAAGACAAGTCAGATTTGAGATATTTCGTGATGTCTGTTCAATCCCCTACGGGTAACAAGGTTCCTGATCATGCAGCCTGACTAGGACAAACTTTTACTCTAAACACAATTATCCAAAAATATAGCCCAGAATATCCTGATCAGGAAAAAGATCAAGAAAAGCAGAAAAAGGCTTGTATCCTCACTTCCTATTTTATAGTTTTCCTGTGACAAGTTCTAACGAGGCTTTTACTCCACTTCTCAGAAGTGATTATAATTGCATCTGAATCCCTGTCAATGTATCAGAACATACATATAGTTTAAATTATAATACTTTTTAATGTAAATCACTGCATCATTTCTGAATCCCAGATTTTTATCTTAGAAAAATGTCAAGTAGTTGCCTCTGTTCGCTCCACCCAGTGGAAGGAGTGTCACCTGTGAGGGCGGTTCATGAGGGTGGATCTTTGCCTCCGGGGGGTGCCTGATTTTTTGGACAATATTTCTTGCAGTCTTCGGGATTTATTTTTGCTGATTTTCTTAAACAGTACATACATTTGAGAGAAAAGAAATCTTAGAAGAGAGGGACTGACCTATTGCAGCTTCTAATGAAAAGAAGCGAGTTTCAATGGCCTGAAGCGATCTCTCAGTCATTCTGACCGGGTCAACACAAGCCAATGATGACGACTACTACTGAAAACAAATCATCTCAATCAGCCTTCAGGATGACAAAACTTTGGTAAACTAACTTTGACAATAAGGTTAGTACCTGCAATTGTCTGCTATGATAGTCGGTTAAGTTTCCACAATTTGCATCATGTGCCTCATCCAAGTACTACAATGTCCCATCAGCGCAGACTTCCTTTTTTGCACAAAGAGGGACTAGCTGCAGGCCGTAACCTCAGGAAAAAGCAAAAAAAACGTTACACCTTACTGTACCCACCGCACGAAATCAATTCTTTTGATTCAAAATATTTGCAGCTTTGCTATATGCACAGTGAAAACCATTAGAAGACTATAATAGTGGGGGACCATCACGCCAATGGACTGTAGCTGCAAAAGTAGCTGGAAAGATCAGTTGTATGCAGTTAATAGAGTCCTCCCCCCCACCCCACCCCAGACAATTAGACTTCCTTAATTAAATTCCTTATTTAGGTGCCCACAGTAAAGAATGCCACTTTTCCAAAGAAACAATGGCAAATAATGTAACTTTAAAGATAAGGAAAGTAGAGCAGCAATGTTTTGCACAAAATGTGTGCACATTCAAGTAAATAAAAAGATATAAAAGAAAAAAAAAAAAATCTATAAGTCAAAGACAGATACATAAGAACCTCCAGTCTTTGTTGGTCGGATTGGCACTTTTGTGAACAGGAGTGCATTTTTCAGCTTTCAGAAATATAAATATTTTTTTCCTGGTTGATGCACTGATTTTTTTTTTCCTTAACTTTGCAATTCTGGCATTTATTTGTAGGCCAAGCACAGAATTGGCCGTGAAAATCGAAGACTGCAGTTATAAATGCTGCTCTACATATCTGTCATGTAGAGGTAAGTTCTTGATGCTCAATTATTCATGATTTGACCTCTTATGTCTACAGGGAGCGCGCGTGTTCTGTGGAGAACGTCTGAAACTCATGGCGCAAAAAAAAAAAAACTGTCTGTCTAACATAATCTGTTAATTAATGCTTGAACCACTGCAAGTAATGGCAACATCTTAGATCAGGACATTGTGCGCTGACATTAGTAAGTTAAAGGTTTAAGTCATGTTGGTATATTGAAAAGGGAAAAGGGACACTGCTGCATCCAATGCATGCTCTCAACAAAGTAGGAGGGGTTTTTTAGTAAAAAAAAAAAAAAAAAGACAATATTCAGCAGACTGATCCATTCATATTTTTTACCAAGAGAAACTTAATCCATTTCCACGTTTTAAGTTCGGGCTACTTCAGTAATCCACAGAACAGGGGCTCCCAGACTCTGATTGGGACATAGTCATAGAGTCAATCAACCTCTCCCTCACACAGTGCCTGTCAGTCAAACATCACACGACCACAGTTCTGCTCCATCCACAAAGCCTGAACGCTGACCCCAGACCAGCTCCGGTCAGAGGCCCAGCCGATCCCAGGTCAGGGTTCACACGGCCAATTTAAACCATCATAAGTCATGTGGCTAGAACCAACAAAAAAGTTTCCACGAGATGCTTCCGACTTCCACAAACATCTCTTTTCATTGTCTCAATTAAAACAGAATCTCGATTATAACAGAACCAAGGGCGACACTTTCATTAATAAAGAAAATGTAGTATGTGCTCAGAAACAAAAAAAATAAACCAACAAAAAAAAAAAAAAACACAGCCAAAAATGGCAGCGTTTCATAATTTGGAGGAACTAACCTTTAAAATAAAATTTAAAAAAATAACATTTGTTTTTTTTTTAAATCCAAAGATTATGGAAACTATTTTACTTGCTACTAGCCACTCATCTGTGTGAGGTGTGTGTACAGTGTCTGCTGGTGTTGTATGCAAGTGTGCATGAAGTGTGCGCAAATATATATATCTATATATATAATGCAAATACACAAAATTCAAATATATATTTATACTTGAATTTTTTGTTGCAGTTAGGCTTGTCACTTATCTGAGATTTATCCCTAGCCAAACTCTGGTTGTTATTAGACCCGCGAGGGGGGGACAAAGAAGCCGCACAGACTTTTCTTGCCAGGCAGAGAATAGGCTATTTACATCAATACCTATACATATCACAATGGACCCATGCAATGTCGTTATCAGCCGTCATTCCCATTCTTCAAAATATAGTGATACAGAAAGCCATGGGTTATATATCAACTCTACCACTATACAGAACACCATCACTACACTATCACTGTTAACACCACCAAACCAATTTTGTCACGGCCCAGTTCCCGCTTTCAATCCCAAACGCTGTTTACGAGCGACGCTGAGCAGCGTACAGAAATGTCCCACAGCGTTTCTTCACTCCGTCTCTCTCTGTGCCAACTGTGTCTGGCCAGGGATACTCAGTGACTGTAGGCAGGGTAATAAAACACCATGCAAAAAAACCCTACCACATACAACTGGGGAGGGGAAAAGGGGGGCACAGGGCGTAAGCTACCCAGCAGCAACCCATTTAAACTAGGGTTCAGTGAAATCACAAAATTATAAACGCTGCGTCTTGTTAAAATTTCCATGACTCCAAGAGGTATTTTCACCCTACTTTAAACATCTGCCATCCTTTGAATGCATCTAAATATAAAAATAAGTTTGGTTTGCTGCTGCTGCCGGCTCCTCTCCCCCTAAATCCCCCAACTATGCCTTGTTTAATAGTTAGATCACTTCATAATTCAAATGTATTGTTATTAATAACACAGCACACGACGAACATTGGATCTCTAACTATTCCACCCTCGATTTTTTTTTTTTTTAAGTCTTTAAACGTATCCTCTAAAAGTCCAGTCCCCTTTACAAATATCCCATTTCGGAGCCCTTCCTAAGTTTAGATTTTCTAAAGTTTCACACTTCTTCCCACCCACTCCCTCCCTCCCCCACAAAATTTGTCCCACTTAAAAAATGCTGAGCGAGAGAGAGAGAGAGATAGAGATAGAGAGAAGGAAAAAAGAAAAATCACACTTCTTAGCTCGGGCATCAGACTCTTCAGACGCCCTTGACTTTGTGTGGACCATCTGAACCCCCTTATATTCTGATTGACCACCAGCAGATATGCAGAGACCAGCCCTAAGCGTACTGATCAGGATTCCTCTTGGTAGCAAGCCATCCCATTAAAGAAAAGGGAATGGAAAAAATAAAATAAAATCACAAGCACTAAAAAGGAGCAGATAAATAAGGGTTGGGGGAGGAAAAATAATCATTAAACTAAAAAGGGATTTTTTTTGTTTTGTTTTTTTTTTGAATTGCACTAAGTCAGAGTGACATCAGGAGCTGGGCATATTTCACCTCGTGCACCCCAGTCTGTAGAATCTGCATGGGGATGCATGGGTAATCCTAAAAAAGAGGAATGTCCCATCTGAAAAGAAATTAAAGTGTATATAAAGACATTAACCAACAAACCACCATTACTGCCAATGAGAGAATCTAAGAACTATCAAATGGCAGGAAGATGTCTGCGTGTGCGTTTTAAGCCAGGGCAGACTCACACTTTGGGCAATGAGTTGATCAATTTGTCTTCTAAACGTAATGGAGTTTGTGTGGCGTGCTCCCCTTGGCCAGGAAACAAGAGTCTGCCCTGCAAGAAGTCAGTCCATTGGTTGGATGAATGAAGAAAGATGGGCTTTTTTTTTTTTAGGCTGGAAAGCGGACAGTTTTAACTTTCCTCCAAAGGGAGGGGGGTGTGTGTTTTTGGGGTGATTGAGGTGTGGGGGGCGGTGGCAGACCAGGGAAGTGGGCATGGTGGCATGAATCGGGCATCTAGGGGGTCCTCCAAGGGATGGGAAAGTATAGAGGGGGTAAGTGGTGTATTTTAGAGGAGAGGGCTGCTGACTTATAGCTGGAAACCCTCCATGGGGGCCTCCTGCTGGGGGAAGAGGAACTGCTGGTTGGCCTGGTCCACCTGAGGAGCTAGACTGCTGTCCTCGTCCTCCACTCCGAAGTAGTGCTCGATTAGGTCAAAGGCCTTCTGGTAGATCTCTTGGTTGTCGTGGCTCTGGAGGAACTCTATCTTGTCAAGACCTGAAAACAAGTAAAAAAAAGACGAATGTTTGTAAAGTTCTAGCAAAAAGGCAGACTTTCACTTTAACAAAAAAAAAAGAAAGAAAGAAAAAGACGACAAACAGCCCTTTGACTGCTGTCTAGGACTTAAAATCAAAACTTCTCTACCTGTAAGTGAAAACACACCAACAGTATTTGAAATCGTCAAGTTTTAGGGATTCTTACCTATTCCTTAAACTGAAGTGCACTTATTTAAATAAATAATATTGTTACGACTGCCGGCCCTTCCTTCCTTCCTTCTTTGTGTCTTTTCCTTTTTTATGTGTTAAGATTTTAGTGTGCCGTTGCCGGTGGTGGATTGGGCCAGACCACATGGGCGGAGACAGGCCAATCACGTGGGACTTCCAATCAAGACCCGCCAACAAGACGACAGCGGCCTAATTGAGTGGAAGAGTCCAAATTGACGGGGTGGCTGTATCCAGCGCACCAGTGCCTGATTTAACAGGAAAACTTTTTGTTATGTAAAGGCACTTTCTTTTCTTAAAGCTGTTCTGGAACAGGGCTAGGTAGGGATTGTTTTGTTTTTTTATTTCCAGTAAAGTAGGTTCTGATTTGATATACCTTGATGACCTTACCTTTTTGTTATTCAGTTGAACTTCCTTTGTTTTGTTTGGCAGCAAGTTTTAGTTATAAGAGCTTTTGTTTGGGTATTTAAGTTAAAGAGCACCGTTATGCCCTGTTTCCTCAGTTTTGTATCACCAAACTCCTGTGAATAAATAATTGTTACTTTTAAAACCAATTACAACTGGTTCTGTTACTTTCCCTTTTCCCTTTCCTCGAGCTGGGTTGTAACAATATATATTAGGACGGTTTCAAGCTTTAGCTTATATATTTTTGGTCATTTAAAACAGATGCTGGTTTATGTTTGTATGTTTGGACAAAAAAAAAAAAAAAAGAAAAAGGCCACATACAAGTAGCATTGGGTTTGGTGCTAAGCCACAACGATGAAAACGGAAACATAAATATCAACGAAATAAAAAAAAGCAATACCTCTACGTGACACTGACAAACCCTAACAAGCCCAAGCCCAAGCTCGTTCAAGTGTAATGGCACAGTCACACCTACACTTACCCCAAGCTCATCCCCCAAAACAAAAAGACAAACACCTCCACAGAAACAGAAAAACCACAACCATCAGTAAAAAGAAACAAAAAACAAAAACGGCGCCGGTGCACACCAACACAATGACAGCAACGACAAAAAAAAAAAAAAAAACGATGAATTTCTTTGATTATTTTACAAAAGCTGGAGAAACCTGGAATTAACACATACAACATGTTCTCAGTATTGGTAGTACAGTCGCTAGTTTACAGTTTCTGGGTACCTTGGGTAATGCGTTTAAAGATAATGTACCTTTCAAATCTTCCAAAGTGTTGAGAGGTTCAGAAGGTTAAACAAAAATGACCACCACTTGCTATTCATTTGCAGGCTCGTCTAAAATCTTCTCAGCTTCACCCTTGTTTCATTACATTTATTATGGATTTCACTACAGATTTTTAGTGTCGTTTATCGGTGCTCTTTGAAAAGAGAGAATATACAGAATTTCAGTAATGTTGTATGATATACCAAATCCTCATTGTTTTTTTTCCAGTTTGCATGTGTTTGTGTGTATTTTCTGCACATTACCATAAGCTTCTTCAATTAGGCTGCAGTAAGGATTAACTCCAGTGCCGCTGTTCTCCTGCTTGGCCTCCTGCTCGCCCAGCCTCAGGATGTTTTCTAGCCCGTTGAGAGCGACCTGAACAATCTTAGAATCCATCACGGTCAGCAAGTCACACAGTGGCTTAATGCAGCCCAGGTTCACCAGATATCTATATGCAAACAGAAACATGGACAGGGCAGATGTTTGATGACTGCTGGGGTCTAAGTCGCCGTCAGATTTTTAAGAACAAGGTTGCAAGTTGGCGTAAAAAAAAAAAAAAAACAGTCTTCTTCTCACTGGTCTGATTACGATACACAGCTTTACTTGGGTCCAAAGTTGAAATGAAAGTACTTCTCCCTAGTTATATCATTCATTTATCTATTATCTCAGCTTTCAGCACATATGGCACCTCCCCGTGCATGTCATTGCATAAGACAATTTTACATTTTTCTAATCACCCAGTTTCTTCATGGAGATTTTCCCCTTTCAGCAAGTGTTGTTAATGTGCTGCATTTTCTCACAATAGACACAGTAGCACTGTGTAGTAGCACTAAACTTAGATTTATCCATCACTGTGGGTGAAAGACTTGTGCTAATTTATGCACAAATGTTGCAAAAGCAGAGTCAGGAAAATCTCTCACTTGAGCTGGTTCGGAACTAAGTAGTTCAGAAACTCTTCAAGCTATTCAACAATACAAACTGAAATTCAAGCTTCCAGTAATCAGTAAAGGCTTAATCGCAAAACTGCTAATGATGTGACTGACTTACTAAAACCAGAGATAATAAACCACCAGACATCTAACCATGTCAGTCATGTTATTCACCGAGTATATACCACGCAGTATAGCTTATTTACTCTAAAACTAACCTGATCTGTTCTGGTGTTCCTCCAGAGGTGGCGTTGGTGATGGCCCAGGCAGCCTCTTTCCTGGTTCTGAATTCAGCCTTCTGCAGAATGTCGATCAGTACCGGAAAGATGTTGGCATCTATTACAGTCTGCAGAGAAGGATAAGAAAGGAGACTGGGGTGAGGTTCATAAAGTGGCTTCAACATGGTTACAGTATTTTTAACTTAGTAAAGTCTATAAACTCTAAACTTGGTGCTCAGGGCTGCAGAGGTACAAATTGGAAGACTGGGTAAAAACCTAATGTTATCTCAAGCTATGATGTTGTAGACACTTGTGGGCTGTGATCTATGAATGAACTGAGTGGACTTCAGAAATCGATTTTGAATCTTTATTATAAATACGTGTTTGGAATATAACAGAATAATAGAAAATGATTAATGTAGAATCACATTAAACTCACATTAATGAATTCTGTCATAAAAAGTGACAGCGTTCATTAAATATGTGGGTATGGCTGATGTTCTCAACCCTGTATTAAGAGGCCCGTCTATTATCTTTGGACTTCCAGCAGGTTTTTGTTGTGCTGAACTGCTGTTGTAGACATTAGCCGTGATCATATAAAAAATAAAAATAATGTTGACAGTAACACATTCAATTTGATCTGCTGTTAGGTGGGTGACAAAGAAATGATGACAAACTGTTTTGTTCATATCAAAAATGGAATTATTACAATGCCATTCATTTTGACATTCATGTCATTATTACAAAACAATATAGTAGCAAAGTGGCAGCCACGCTGGGGAGGCTTACAGTAGAAACACGTAGTAGGAAACTACATGAATTTATCAATTACAGTGACTACAGTGTGCACCCTCAATCGAAGCAATGCTATAACTTATGCTTTTTTTCCCCCAATATAAACATGCCACAAAGGCAGAGGGCCTGGAAATGTGACCAACATGTCTTCATTATAATATGATGAATCATCATGGACGACATATTGATATAAATACAATCCCTATCTGTCTGTTTCACAAGCAGCAAAAAAAACCAACATGAGCGCCTGTAGTCGCAGTGATAACCTCTGACTGTCACAGGAAATAAGATTGAACTGGAAAGAAGCAACTGTTTTATACAGAATGGAATCAAGAAAAATATTGCTTTTTAAGGTATTCTCATGGACGTTGGCATGGGATGGACGTGTTGATATTGGTTTGACCCTGAGACAAACAAATACACAGATTTCCATGGTAACCTGGTTTTTCTGCAGGTCGTTCCCAATTTAGTAATAAATGTGTGTGTGTGGTACCTGTATTTGTGCTCTGTTTCCTGCTGTGATGTTTGAGATGGTCCAGCACGCCTCTTTGCGGATGGACTCTTTAGCGCTGCTGAGAAGGTGCAGCAGACAGGGCAGGGCTGAGCAGTTCAACACCACCTATACACAGCAAAGCACAGGACAAAAACCTTACAGAAGCTGTTTACAAATAGGCTTGACATTGGAACAAACATTTACATTTTGTAGGAACTGTGCAGTCAGAGCCAAAAATAGCTGAGTGCCTCTGTGTTATGACTCCATCACTATACAAAAAAAAAAAAACAAAACCCTCCTGGACATACAGAATTACTGTTGCAGTGGGTAAAGTATTCCTATATTGTGATCATCCTGGTTTACGACAACCAAAATTGTCAAATGAGCCATCATGGTTTCCTCAACATAAACATACTCTTACGGCTATATCCACACTGTCCGTTTACATTTTAAAACTGTTTTAAAATAACATCCGTCCAGATGACAGTTTTAGCACCACTTCTCAAAATAATCTGCATGCATGCTAACATGCCCAAAAAACATATAGGCTACTGTATCATGATCATATTTACAAAAAAATAAATTAAAAAAAGCCCCAAAAAACCAAACATGCAGTCAACGCCTGTGGAAACAAACATAGTGGTTGTCAGGCCCAATCAGAAAGGGAACCATGGTGTCTGCATCACCATTTCCTAAAGTCTTAGAGGTTCTAGGCACAAAAATAGCAGAAGTTACGCATTTTAATAAACTATAAACGTAGCTGTAGGGTTTCTTTACAATGAACTGCACTTGTTATCCCAACAGAAGTCAATTAATACATCTTGAGGCTCTTTTGTGTATGGGTTTTTTGTTGTTGTTGTTTTTTAAGTTATCGGCTTCTTTGTGTCCAACAGGCAATGACAGAACCATGAAACAAACTTTATCCTCACCTGTGTTTGGATGTCATCTCCAGTGACAATGTTTCCTACAGCTCTCAAGGCAGGAGAGGCCACCTTATAGTCAGTGTGCCTGCAGGAAAGCACGTTTCATAGAGGGGCATGTTCAAAACGTTATAGATCACATTATGACTAAGACAGAAACAACAAAGTAAATTTTGAACTTACATGAGTAGTTCTACAAGGCGCCTGCAGACACCAGAGTCAATGACAGCCTGGATCTTGTCGTTGGGGCCATCGGAGAGGTAGGACAGAGCCCAGCAGGCATCTGCCAGCAAGTCTGGGTCACTGCTAAATAAAAGCCTGGACAGTACTGGCAGACAGGGCGACACCTTGACAGGATAAACAGAATGGATATTTATATTCAGAAACAACACGAATTCTACACAATGCATGAATTAAACCAACATTTTTCAGGATAGCAGTTCAGGAGAAAAGCAGCTTGGCATGGTGGCAGATTTCTTTTTTTTTTTTACGGGAGTGTTGAGACCCACACAAGAGCAAGAGATTGTTCAACACAGGATCTATTGTTTGAGAACATTACTCCAGTCGACTGAAAAGAGTGAGCACAAACTGAATGCATTTCTATACATTGAAAAACGGCCGTTCGATGAAAGACTTTGAGGAAAATGTAGATAAACCTGCACATAAGATTTAGGAAACTACCTGAGATTTTACTGTAGGGATACAGCAATACAAACATCTGTACGTTTTGATTTCCAAAGAAGTATCTGTGCTCGTCTGACAGGCAACTTTGACAGCTTTGGACCAGGATTTCATGTTGTTGACAGTGTGGCTTTAATGAGAGTTACAGAACATATAATCGGCTCCATAGAATTTACTTTATTTTATGAAAAAATATAGGGACAGGCTGCCTGCCATGTCAGCCTGAGATTTTCGTCTTCTAAACCTTAAGGACTGTTCGACCCGTCTATAGATTGTTACTGTATGCAGGCAAGTGACCCAGTTAAGAAAAGAAACAGAACCAATTTATAATCCTGTGGCCAAACTACAAGATTTGATTTGAGTCAACAATAACAATACTTTGCAAATTCATATACATGTTCTGTGCTTTACCAGTGACAACTATCTAAGACCCAGGTTGTGCATTAATGGTAAAGATACCAAGGGAACAAAACACAGTCTTCATCCTGCACTTGACTGTGTATCCATGTTGTATTACCCATTACACATGCTTTGACAAACTTGCAAAATATTTCAATAGTGTTATCAAACTACGTGTGTTTCTGCGTTGACACGATGAGGGAAGGTGGTACCTTTTCAAAAGCAGGTGGAGGGTTTTTTCCTCTACAGAGATTAGACAGAGCCCAAACTGCATTCCTAGTCATGGTCAATCTAGTGGATTTGGTCAGAAGCCTGAAATCCCAAAACAAAACAAACAAGAGATCACATGAGAAATATGTTACAGGTAGAAAAAAAACTGAAGCCGTGACTAAGGTACGCCCATACAGAGGCAAAAAAAAATTGAATAAACTTACATTAATAGTGGTGGAAGGATGTTGCAGTTCAGCACATAGTCCCTGCACACTGCACTATCCCCTGCAATATTACCCAAGGCCCACACAGCCTGAAGACAAAGTAACACACAAGAACATTACAGAAGTTTGTAACAATGCAAGACAAATAGATAACAAACGAATACAACTTGTCACAAAATGTGAAACTGCGCCTTACTTGTTCTTGGACATCCTCAAAGTCCGAGTTAAGTAGTTCTATGAAGATCGGCACTGCTCCAGCCTCGATCACCGTCTTCGTCTGCATGGATGTTCCTGATGCTATGTTGGTCAGCGCCCAAGCGGCTTCAAACTGCAGTGGCACAAAACGTCACACAGACAAGTACCATTTTAAGACATTTCTACCACGCAGCACTTTTAACTCGTCTGTAATAAATGTGAGTAATACTGGGTCCTCTCAACGAGTGAGAATGTGTTTTTCAATTTGTTTCACACTGGTAAGGCATTGGACATAAGAGGTCAAAAAAGTAGCTGCTTTCTGAAGAATGATGGGTAATCAGACCTGCTTTGACTTGCTTGCAATCAGATAGAGCCTGCATCAACAAAGTGTCAGTGTGCTATGTACGGACTGAATGGAATGCTTCTGATATTGTTTGAAAAAGTCGGTGTTACTGCAGATGCTGTAATGGCGCACATGGTGTCTTTATTTTCAACTGACCTGTAGTGTGCAGTTGACGCTCTTCTTCAGAAACTCCACAAACTTCTCCACGACTCCAGCTGTGCTTATGACTTCATCAATCGGTGGGTTAGGCTCTGAAATGAACAGAAGGAAGCCTCAATGAAGACATTTTTGTCTGGCCTGTGGAGCACCACGACCATTACTACTGTTACATAAAGTCACTCTGGGTGCACAGTACCCAGCACGTACCTTTGGAAAGTAGTTTTCTGAACTTTTGTGTTGTGGCGAGCTGAAGCTCTGGGTCCTCTGAGAAAAGCATCTCAACCATGTCTCTGGTAATAACTCCTTCCTGCAAGAATACATGTACAAACACTCGTATCACTTGATCCACTCAGCACGGACTCCACTACTTGGCAAGTTACATGCTGAAAACAGGCTAGAAACCATTAACTATGAAAACAAAAATGTAATGTAAAATAAATCTCCAGTGTGGTCCTCTCCTTTTCTATTTTTGTGTGAGAATCATTAGAAAAACAGGCACTCACTGTTACTGGAGAGCTGAGGTAAGAGTCGACCAGTGGACTCTCAAACATGGCTTCCTCTTCATTGAGAACATCCACATTCCTCCTCTTGAAAAGCTGTGATAACAAAATTGTGAAAGGCCGCAGAGTTACAGAGAAGCTAGACTACTTCCATTATATATAATTTCAAAAGGCGTGACAAAGGATCTGATAAGTGGGGTGGACAGGTTTGGTGTACCTGCTGTTCTCGTTTCTGTTTCCTGAGTTGGATGCCTTCCTCCTCTCTCCTGCGCCTCATCTCTTCGGGATTCAGTGCTTTGTTCTTGTAGCGGTTCATCCTGTAGTTATCCTTGGCCGGACTGGCTGACGGCTCTGTTGGGCCACAGACATACGTACACATTATGGCTAAGCATGCATTTGCCTCATATGAGGTGAACATGCGACAGACTAGGTTTGCATTTTCTCCCCCTGACATCTCTAATAACAGGTCGTAATGATGAAACAGTATACACACAGGTTTATATATAAAAAGGCCTTGTGCAAACAAGCTCATGAAAAGTGGACAACACAGCCTAAAAATACACACACACACATACGCAAACACACACACACGCACAGCTAAGCTATTCATCAACCAGTCAGCTGGCAGCCAGAACAAACGTATTTATTCAGTAGAGTTAATTCGCAGAGTTAGCATAAATTGGTGCCCACACAGGGCTACCCATTCTCAGCATTTGTGCAGTCATGCCACAAGAACAGGGCACCGGGCAGATCCCTGAGTCACCCGGGGGCTACGGGGGAGCGAAAGAGAGGTGGGGGGGACAACACTGAAACCTGCCACCACCACAGAATGGTGCCAACCTTCTGTGCCAAAAGTTCTCTATCGTAACAGCAGGGGGTTACAAGGTTAAATATCAGTACAAGTGTCGGAAATTGAGGTCATGTTATGGTTTGAGGGCATTAGCGCCACCATCCTTATGAAGAGCTTACGCATGTGTGTAATGTGTGCAGATGGTAAAGCCACAGGGATGGACGACACACGAGCACAGGTTGCAGCTGGACGTTCTCATTTCTGCACCGCGGTAGTTAGATTAGCTGCTGTATGTGAACTGCACTGTCTGTTTGCTGTTTGGGCTGGATGGCACAGAAATAGCTCTGCTGAGAGTACATATCTACACTGGCATTTCAGAGGAGACCCTGTTGACAGCAAGGCGTCTCTGGAGCAAAGCAGAATGGTGCGAGCCGTTTAGAAGTTTGTTCACTTAATTAGGGAATGAAAAAAAAAAAAAAAATCATGTTCCCACTTAGAGCTTGTGTCAGCTTACCATGCTTATAGTTTCTGTTTCATACTTACAATAGTTGGGGTTAGTTCATACCAACACTGAAACTATATGCACAGCTGTCAAGTGGCAGTTCCTGTGTGTTGGATTTTGATGAACCAACATAAACCTTTAATTTAGTCTGATTATGTGTGATTATGTGGCCTAATTTGGTGGCAAATCAAGCACCAGGAGTAGTCCAAGTGCAGGACTGCTTTCTAGTTAAAAAACAAACAAGCTATGTCATCTTGTAACATTTAATAATTACATATTTAGGGTCCAGCTTGATTTCAGTGTGTATCATGGTTCAATGAACTGACACTTCCTGACAGATTGAGGAGTCTCACCTTCCCATTTCTCGTTTATTTTGCTGCATATGTAGCTCACCAGCAATGCTACTGTAAAGGACAATGGTTACACAGAAAAACAAGCATATCCTGTGTGGGAATGGTCTGGAAAACATGGGGACCCCGGTGTCACATGTGTGTTCTGTCGTATGAGCTAGCAGTCACATATGCAAATACTCTCACTGATGCTAGCAAGCTGTTATAAATGTCCCATTTTTGCATCTTTCACATAAACATTTTAGTCCACAGATGTCACTCCATTGCCGATTTACTCGAAATAAGAATAGTTTGAGATTTACGGTGATTGTACCGACGTTATTGTGTAATTCTATCGGGGGTTGAATAATGGGGTTAACGAACAGAGCTAACGTAGCTAGGCTAAGATAAGCGTCAGCCGCTGCGTGAACACAAATCTGTGACTATAAATAATAAATTACGTCGTGTAGATGTATTGTGTTTGAACTTTCTGAGTCGCTGGAAGTCTTTTGTTAAGGTTTCGTCGGCATAACCACAAAACAAACACAAAACGATACGTTTAAGATACCTACTACATAGCATTAGCTTTGCAATGCACTTCAACAACTTGCTAACCTTCCTATTGTTGAGACCCCAGTGTAAAGAAACACGGAAGTCTGAGTAACTGGCGACTATAAAGTTGTATTTATCGATAAGAAAGCTAATAAATTGGCATGATTGATAATAACTTGAGCCCTGAGCTATGCGTGTGCCTCCCCTCCTTAAGCGGCACATCGCGGTGCTAACATAGTTAGCTGCTAGCCAAGTTTTCTCAAGTTGGCTACCAAACGGCACTGATTGTTTTCGCTGATTGGAATAATACTAAAACTGTTTGTACGGTATTCTAACAGAAATAAAACATTGTCCCGAGACAAGACCATTCGATTAAAGTTCAAAAACAGCAAGTGAACGAGCGTGAAATAGCAACTCATCTTGCCCTTCTACGTAGCAAACGCGCTAACTAGCCACCTAGCTAATGAGTTAGCTAACTAGCTAAACAACAGTGACAGGGTGAGGATTTCATAATCATTACTACCGACGACACAGACGAATGTTAAACCAGCCGAACCCACGACCACACGCTCAGTTCGTCAAACAGCTTACCCATTGTGTCCTGTGTAGTTTGACTGTATCGGGTGGCGAAGATGTAAATCAATTTTAAATCCTTTCCCCACTTCTAGCTTTCCAGAATTTGCTCCTGTAAGCAATATGTCTGCCGGAGACGGAAGCGTCGAAATATAACGCCGAGTTTGTGCCACCAGAGGCCGCAGCAGCTCCACCAAACATCTCCCCCCTCCGTCAGTCAAGGATAAAAATGTAGGCTCTGTGTATTAAGAACAATGTGCATTCATTATCCGCTTAGGACTGGACTTGTTTTATTCTCTACTGGATACACTGGTTCAATGGTTAGGATGAACTTTTTTATTTTTTCATAACAAAGAAGCCACTGATATGAACAAAGGCTTTATCCTGCACTCCACTGTGCGTGTGTGGAATCATGACACATGCTTTGACAGCAAAACTTTTTAATTGCAAAAATATTTACACACTGTTCTCAAATTCTGTGTGTTTTTGTGTTTGCTTGATGAGGAAAGGTGGTACCTTTTTTATAACTCCAGAGATTAGACAGAGCCCGCACTGCATTCCTAACCAATCTAATGGGGGGATTTGGTCAGAAGCCTGAAATCCCAAAGAAAAGCAAAACAAAGGAATGTAGAAATATGTTTCAAGCAGAAAAACTGAAGGCTTGATGAAGGTATGGCTCTAAATGAACACAAAATTGATATAAGGAAGGTGGAAGGATGTTGTAGTTCAGCACATAGTCCCTGTCGAATCACAGCCTGGAAACAAATAACACAAAAAAAAGTTTCAAGAATGAATTGATGCAAGACAAATGAATGCACACCAACATTTTTAGCACTGAGCTTTAAGATTGTTCAATAAATGAGAGTAAACCCTTACCGTAGTGTTGGGCCTTTTGTTCTTAAATGGATATAATTGTCAAAATGGTTATGACGAACCACTCGTCCCTGAACACTGCACCGTCCCCCTGCAACATTACCCCCAGTCCCACACAGCCTGAAGACAAAATACCACACACACAAAAAAAGCAATGATTTAAGAGCATGGAACAATGGAAGACATCCTGTCACACCAGTTAACATGTGAAGCTGTGTGTTACTTGTTCTTGGACATCCTCAAAGTCCGAGTTCTATGAGTATCGGCGCTGCTCCAGCCTCGATCACCGTCTTTGTCTGCGTGGATGTTCCTGGTGCGATGTTGGTCAGTGCCCAGAAGGCTTTGTGTTGCAGTGGCACAAATAGTTGCAGATATGAAATAAGGAAACTAGTATTTTAAGATGTTTCTAACTTGGAGCTTTAAGATGTTTTTGATAAATGAGAGGATCCTTACTGTGGTGTTCGGTCTGAGTTTATGCTTTGGTCAAAGTGATTAAAGTGATCCATTAGTTAGGTTTATTCATTCTGTCATTATGAAAGTGGTTATTAGGGAAGCGCAAAAGGACGCGTGATTTCGTGTCACCGGTTCTCCCTCCTCTCTCCGTTTCACACACCCGCCGGCGTGGTTCAGATACCTCTGTTTGTCTTGGATCTGCATATCTCCCTCTGGTGTTAAAATGCTGTGTGAACAGCCACTGCTTCCCAGTGGTTCGCTCAAATTGAATGTGACAGAGTAATACAGGTGAGGTGCATCCATGGTCAATTTGCTCGGAGCAAGTGGTGGTAAATTACTGCACTATATTGTGATGCAGCACTGTCCTCTGACATGGGCCCCAGAAGGGGGGCCTGAGGAAACACACCAGGAAAAAACTTTAGGGGGCAATGTTGTACAAATAAAGTAGAAGTAATGGGGCATTCAGTGCTGTCAGGCTGGATCTTTCCCCTATTAGAAAGGGCGTGGGAGGTCAAGTCAACTGTAACACAACTGAGATGCTTTTCCATGATTACAATTTATTAGCAGCTCTGAAACAAACGTTGTTCATGGAGTCGGTGCAGCCGCTGGCTTTGGATGGAGCTTCAGCCGAGCCAGAAGGGCGAAGAATTCACAGCCTTTCAGCAGGTGTGCCGAGATGAATCAAAAGACGCTGCTGGCTGGATAGCAGCCCTCAAATAACACAAACACAAGCAACCAATTTGTGTTACAGATTTAGCATTCAGATGCTCTCAGATCCAGTCCGCGGGGCTGTAAGCCGGGGCTCATCGAGTCTGACTGTACAGGGTCGCTTTTATGAGTTCTTTACCTTTTTCATTTCTAGGCCTGCTGAAGCACATCATACAGCAGCCTACACTTTACGGAGAAGCAAAGGCTATCCATTAGTCAATGCCACAGAGTAAAGACTGCCTCTGTAATGGAATCATAAGAGCACAGCACAGGCTTATAACTGAAGGGCTTTAAAGTGAAGTACAGGGGGAACGGTCACTTCTGCTGTAGTCTCCCACTCATCACTACTTCCTAATGTAGACATAATAAACACTACAATCAATACCCCCCTCTTTTTCCATCCAAATTCAGAATGCTGTATATTAAAGAAACAGGCATCTGAATTAACAAACAGGAAGACCTCTCTTGCCACCTCATTAGTGGCCATTACTCATCGAGGCTGAGTCAGCAATATTGAGAAACACTGTGCTGCATTTTCAAGAAGCAAATTAAGAGCGCCGCAACGACATGATGAGCACAATAACGAGATGTTGATAAAGTGCAGTTTTATTAGAATGGGCTTTTGGTTGGAATATGTGACTAATGTATTTCCTCGACAGAGAGGATTTTGATGACAGTTAAAAGACCTCCGTCTACAGATCTGCACCTCTTTGTACGCCAAAATGCTGTTTGGACTCTCGACAGAAATCCTTTCATTTGCAGGGGAGACTGTACTTTATCCAGTGGAGAGGTTTCATAGGCAAATGTCTGCCCTGTTCTGCATCACGCTCCTGGCAGTCTATCCAACATCAAGCAGCACTCAGATCTCTGCAGGTGGACAGCGCAACATTAAAAAAAGAAAAGTCCTTGTGCATTTAGTCTGCCCAGACAAAAAATAATATGTACTACACAAAGAGGCTAACAGCATCAAGGTGGATGTTTTGTAGAGTAAAAAAACTCAATTAGGAAGCGTCAAAAGCAGTTTAGTTTTGATTGTGCTTATTTGATTGCGCAGATTTAGCCGATTTAACTGCTCCCTAATTCAATTACACCAAATATGATAATAAGGCTAGCTCGCTGAAATGTGAGAATGTGGTCGGGCCGCCTGTGGGAGAGAACATCTGCAAGGCTCTGTTCTGAACGCTTTGTGCGAGAGTAATAAAGGGTGAGAGAGATAACGCCGTGGGGAGGATAGTGTGCGGAGAGAGCAGTGTGTCAGTGCATGTGGGGCGTGAATGGAAAAGAGAAGATATGTCTTCATAATATAGTGTTGAAAATCCATTCAGCGCTGTCCATGCCGTACTTTTTTATCTGACGACTGGGGCCCTCTCTCTCTCTCTCTCTCTCTCTCCGTCTTCCTGTCTCCTGCTCGCTTTCTGACATCTACCAGGTGGCGGGGCTGATAAGTAAGATGCTGAGTAGGTGATTTTAGAATATTCTTGTGCATCATTCCATCATTCCTTGTGTGTGTGAGAGAGGGAGAGATTTGTGGGGACTCTTTGAATACTAATGTATTATTTTTACCTCGCAGGATAAAAGACTCAAAGAGACAAATCTGTCGCTAACAATGGCGTTGTCATTGAGCAAATATGGCAACCACTTTTCATTTGAGACAAGAAGATTGTGTGGGATATTGCTTTACATCCCAGTCTATCACTGTGGCGTCCTGGTGTCGTAATTCGTTTTGTTTTGAACTACGATCCAATGCGCCCGTTCAGCTATATTCACAAGGTGGTTTTCTAAAGATCACGATCATAAAGGTCACGGTCATCATTTCTCAATTTTAGGATTAAAAAAAAAAGGTCTACACAAAAAATACATTTTTCTTTGTGTCTTCAATCAGGGGCTGCAAGGTGGTGCAGTTGGTAGCACTGTTGCCTCGCAGCAAGAAGGTCGCCGGTTCATGTCCTGGTGGGGGCACTGGAATCTTTCTGCGTGGAGTTTGCATGTTCTCCCCGTGCAGCGTGGGTTCTCTCCGGGTTCTCCGGCTTCCTCCCACAAGGTCCAAAAACATGTTGAGGTTAATTGGTGATTCTAAATTGTCCATATGTGTGAGTGTGAGTGTGCTTGGTTGTCTGTCTCTAAGTGTAGCCCTGTGATAGACTGGTGACCTGTCCAGGGTGTCCTCTGGGATAGACTCCAGCCCCCCGTGACCCTAGTGAGGATTAAGCGGTGATGGATGGATGGATGAATGGATGTTCAATCAAATGACACTTTGTGTGAGCTCGATTGTTTTAAGCTTTTTAAAAGCTTCTTAATGAAATGAAAAATACTTTATTTATCCCAGTAGGGAAATTCAATCTTGTAAAAGCTCATTTTCTCTCTCTTTTTTTAATCAATACAACATATATTCTACACAACAACAACAATAATAATTATAATTGTTCTAATAATTAAGCGTTTAAAGCTGAAGTACAGGACTTTTATACATAATTGAGCATTCACTGCTAAATAAGATTATCAGCGCCAGGTGAATCGCTCTGCATTTCTTGTATGGTAAAGTTTTGAATCTGGTTTCTGTGGCGTCACATCAGTACCGATGTGTTTTATGTCAACCAACAAATGGCTGGTTGTTCAGAGCTAAAGAGGAGAGCAACTTTAGTGACAAAGACAGGGCAGACAAAAGCACCAAAGGTATGGTACAAAGAAACTCAGTGTTCAGAGGAAGAATTGCTTTTCCTCTTTAGAAAGAAGAGAAGGGACTGAGGGCAGATATGGTTGTTGCCCAACTACTCTCAGACATGTTGGTATTTGTAATATGTTTGAAGTAAGGTATGTACCTTTTACATTATTGTCTTGGAATGGTGTGAATCTTTCTGTACATTAGTAAATATTTCTGAACACAAGCCTGCTATTACCACATGTCAGTAGTGTTTTTGTAGTTGTCTTCACTTTTAGGTTCCACACTGCAAGTTTAACTGCATAAAGGCTGAAATGAGCCAAAGACCTGGCAACAGGACTTACTGCTTTAACAAAACAAACAAAAAAAAAATTTGTCAGGATGATGATTTGGTTCATCGATTGTGGCTCGTCTCCAGGGGCTGAGGGTTGCAAATGTGACTCTG